CGGAACGAAATCTGTTCATGCGTTAGTGCTCATACTGAAACGTACAGGACAAAACGGTTATGCCAAACACAACCCATTAGCCGACGTTTCAACATGCAACTTATGGGCATTCTTCATGAGAAAATTCGGTATCTTTTATGATCATCAGATGCATTGGTTCTTTGGAACCAAAATGTCTGGAACCAAGAGATATGGGCTGAGACGGGAAGCGGTTAAACACATGATGGACCAGTTCATTGCATCACCTTCAATAAATCACTTTTAACCGTTTTCTTCGAGTAAAAGAATTAATATTTCATGGTAGCACTGTTATATTTTCTTCCTTCAAACGCAGAATCTGGTTCTGTAAGGGTATCCAATAATTATGCACATGTTTGAGCAGCTAAAGTTACCCCCTCCCCCCAAACTTATGAAATCAAATTGTTGTGATTCAGCATATGAGATGATGAACAGATGGCAGGTTAATCGCATGTATAACAGAGTGGCATCAACTATAACTGTAAAGACCACAATAATAGCCCCTAAAATACCAACCAGTTCGCGGATTACTAGCCAGATTCCCTCTATGTCTACTGAAGATTCAGTGACTGCATCTTTTTGCACAAAAGCCGCCCTTAGTAAGGCAAGAACATAAAAAAACAAAAGTTGACGACGAGATAAAGGAGCTATGCAGTGCAAAGTCAGACTACTATTCCTGGTCAAAGTATATCTACTTCAGATTAGTTTCGTAGTGATCCGAGTTCTTGATTGAATGAATGAATGAATGAATGAATGAATGAACGAACGAACGAACGAATGAATGAATGAACGAACGAACGAACGAACGAATGAATGAACGAACGAATGAATGAATGAACGAATGAATGAATGAATGAACGAACGAACGAATGAATGAACGAATGAATGAATGAATGAATGAACGAATGAATGAATGAACGAACGAACGAATGAATGAACGAATGAACGAACGAATGAATGAGTGAATGAATGAATGAATGAAATGAAATGAAATGAATGTCGAAAGAAATTCGACACCCTGATGCTGAAAAAGTGCTCGGAGTTTTGAAATTCGTGTAGAAAATCGTTTTTGAGCAACCAGGTAGTGAACTTCAGCAGCAAGAACTTGACAGAAGGTCAAAAGTCCGTTTTCTCCAAAGGTTTGAATTTTGTTCCTGCTCCAGATAAAGTGCTAGTTATCGAAATTGTGACATCGATTGAACGAGCATATTTGATAAATCACCAGACAGCCATCCAAGACTTCGCCAAATTAGCTGCTGTAGAAGTTCAAAAGTTTCAGATTACTGGATCCAATCTAAGTCTGAACACACTGCCCTAAGACAACTGGAAATAGAAGGCAATATCGCCATAATGAAAGTGGATAAAGGAAATGCAACCGCGGTCATGGATAAAGAGAAATATCTCGCTAGCTGTGCAGAACTCATTAACAACGGCTATGGCCTGCTAGACGAAGGTCCAATGAAACGGTTGATAGAGTCCCCGAAAAAAGTGATAAAAGCTATGGAAAGGAAGAATGAAATGACCGCTGACGAAACAAAGGGCATAATGTTGAAACTTCGCTACAAATGCAATTGGTCTGCTCCTGAGCTGTACTGCTTGCCAAAGATCCACAAGCCAAATATTCCTATGCGACCTATTGTCGCGTCATCATCTTGTATTTCGGCTTTGGTTGCACGACTGCTTCGCCCCACCATTCAGTCGCACATCCTGTGTAAAGAACTCAGAGAAGTTCGTCCAAGAGACTGTCCCACGATTGAACGAGAACGATGAAATCATGATGAGCTACGACGTAAAGGACCTCTTCACCAGCATGCCTGTCGATATTGTAATCGACCTGGTCGAAGAACAACTGACAAAAGACCTAGACCTTAAAAACAAAACACCTTTCTCGATAACCTCGATTCTCAAGCTACTCAAGAACTGTCTCATCGGTTTCAATTACTTTCAGTTCAATGGCCAATTATATCGTCAGTACAAAGGAATCCCTATGAGATCGCCTCTGTCCCCTGCTCTGGCTGATATATTTATGGAACATCTAGGACACTTGGCCTTCACTACGGGTGACAAAGATGCCTATCCAACCTTTTTCAAAAGGTATGTTGATGACATA